GGTGAGGCCAGTGCAGTGATGTCCCATCCCTGGGCAGACAAGGGCTGTGTCTACACCACAACCGCAGCAGGACCACAGCCCAGCGCTGCGGCTACGTCGCTGTGGTGTCGTGATGCAGACGCTGCAGCACTGGAAGGGGCTTTGCCGTCACCGTAGTTAATCCACCCTCCAAGCGGCAGTAGCCAGGCTGATGGGAGAATTCTTCATTCCACCTTCTGGTGTCTGCACTAGGGCTTAGGTCGGCTTAATCCCGTCTCCAGGGGTCCGAATTTTTCACACCCCTGAGCAATGTAGCTGGGTTGACCTAAGCTTTAGGTGTAGATCAGGCCAAGCCTCAGCCTCCTTCATCTGGAGTAAGAGCATCCACACAGCCCTCAGCATCGCTTTAACTGCATGGAATGATCCTCGCACACTCAGTCCAACCCGTGCGCCCGTCCCGTGTCCACCAGGCCTCCATGGATCAGTTCTGCTGACTCCCGGTGAACCAGCTCTGGGAACAGTCCCTGCACCCCATGTGTCCCAGAACCAGCTGTTCCAAGAGGGGTTTGTTTGCTCAGCATGTTCCAGGAACACGTATTTCACAATCCAATGATATAAATAAAGCCACAGCGCAGAGCACAAGGATCACTTCTCCTCTGTGGACTCAGTTGCACACACCCACTGGGTCACTGCTGGGGGGCGTGGAGGGAGGGGTCTCTGCAGTGACAGGCCTGTCACATCCCCTGTCCCCTTGGATCCCTGCCCCCTTGGGTGCCTGCCCCATCTCCCCAGCCCCCCAGCCTGTGACTGTCACACAGACCTCAGCCTGCCTCTCTCACAAGGACGATTGCCTGCCCTAACGCCTGGCCACGCTGCCCCACAAGGACTGTGCGATGAACATGGGGTTTCCCGGGTGCCTCCTGCTCCCAGATGGGCACCCCTTTGGCAGGAGCTCAGCTGCCTATGCTGGAGCCGGGAACACAAAGGTCCCCATCCTCCTGGCCTGGTTTTGGGGTGAGTGGCCTTTTCCCTTTGCTCTGGCTTTGAATAGCCCTGGGGGCAACCTGTGATTCTCCAGCCCCACCCATCAGCTACAGCTGTCCTGGGAGCCAGAAATCCTGGGGTCTATTCTGCCTTGGGAAGGGGAGTGAGGTCTAGTGATTTGAGCAGGGAGTGGAACCAGGATCTATCTAGCTGTGTGTCCGATTTTACAATACAATTAGTTTAACTTTTGTTAAATGTTAAAAGAGTAAAAAGAAACTCGCATGTCTCTGAGTCCTGGAGGTGTTTCTCAGCCGCCCTGGGCTGGTCTCTTTAGGAACATGGGACACAGGGCTGGAAGGGCATGTTATATAATCCCAGTCACACACTTATCAAGCGCCATCTTCACGTGAGTTAGCACGTTCTCCCCTCACCCATTAGGAGGCTGTTCCTGAACCTTCTTCTCATTTCCAGCCTAAAGTAACTCCTGGCCAGTTCATGGTTCTCTGGCAGTGGGGAGCACAGGCCACTAGTTGCATGGAGGTGGGAGATTACCTGCAGCCTCCCCCCACCCATCCCTGGGACAGGGACTCGGCCGTGAGGCTGCACCTGACCCTGACACAGTGCAAGGGCCAGGCTGGCCTCAGAAACACCCTGGGCCCTGCTCCCCTGCGCCAGGTGCCCCAGGTGTGGGTGAGCAGGCTCAGGCCGGCAGCAGGATCCAAGTGCAGAGGGACTTAGTGTGGGGGTATCCAGGTAGGGGTAAGAGAGTTCTCTGCGGGGCAATCTGGGTGTGGGTGGCTCAGTGGGAGATCTGGATGCACAGATGCTCACTGGGGGGTTGCAGGGGCAATGGGATTCTGCAGGGGATCCAGGTGAAGGTGTTTGGGGCTCAGCAGGGGGGTCTAGGTGCAGGGCAGGTGGGGTTCATTTAGGTGGGGGTGGTACAGATGCAGGGGAGGTGGGGCTTGTCAGGGTGAAGTTTCGATGGGCCTGCTTAACGGGGGAGCCCCAGCTTCTGCCAAGGGGATGCCACACGCTGGGCTCCAGCTTCCCCCCACTTCCCCATCCCATGCCCCTTCCCCACTGCTCCATCTCCTCCCCTCCGCCTCTTCCCCCAGCCCCCACTTCCCCCATCCCATACCCCTTCCCCACCGCTCCATCTCCTCCTCATCCCACCCCCTTCGTCCCCACTGCCTCTTTCCCCCAGCCCCCACTTCCCCCATCCCATGCCCCTTCCCCACCGCTCCATCTCCTCCCCTCCCCACTGCCTCTTTCCCCCAGCCCCCACTTCCCCCATCCCATGCCCCCTCCCCACCGCTCCATCTCCTCCCCAGGCCGGGGCAAGGTCACTCTACAACCCGCCGCCCGGTGAGTGCCGATGGCGCCTGACCCCTGCTGCTGCCCCCGGGACACGTAGCCCAGAGGAGGGGGTTGAGGGGTGGAGAGGGGGCGGGGCAGCTTTCCTGGCCGGCTGGGGGATCAGGCTGCCTGGGGCCCCTTCTGACTCCAGGCATCGCCACCTAGCGGCTGTGCGGGTGTCACACCGCTCTGGGCGGCGCGTTGTGTGGGCCGCTGGTGAATCACAAAATATCAGGGTTGGAAGGGACCTCAGGAGGTGTCTAGTCCAACCCTCTGCTCAAAGCAGGACCGATCCCCAATTTCTGCCCCAGATCCCTAAATGGCCCCCTCAAGGATCGAACTCACAACCCTGGGTTTAGCAGGCCAATGCTCAAACCACTGAGCTGTCCCTCCCCCCGGCAATGTTTGGGCCGGGTCTCTCCCCCGGCCCCCCCTGCCCCCCCCCCTGCACCTCCTCCGAGTGTCCCGCGGCCCCCACTTGCTGCCCCCACGCACCTACCCTGGAGCCTGCAGCTCACAGGGACTCTGCTCTGCAGGCTCCCCGCATCAACTGCTGCCGCAGGGTCCTAGTGCCCCCGTCACTGATGGCGGGGCAGGCTGCCGTTACCCAGCCCTTCCACCCTAGCCTTGAGCCTCTCCAATGTCCCAAACCCCTCAACGCCAGCCCCAGACAGAGCCCTCATCCCCCTGCACCCTAATCCTCTGCCCCAGCCCTGAGCCCCTCCCAAACCCCTCATCCCCAGCCCCAGCCCTCATCCCCCCGCACCCTAATCCTCTGCCCCAGCCCTGAGCCCCTCCCACACCCCAAACCCTTCATCCCCAGCCCCACAGCCCTCACCCCTGAACCTTCTCCTATCCCCAAACTCCCTCCCAGAGCCTGCACCTCCTCCCCCTTCCCACACACCCCCTCCGTCCCCCAAACACTGTCCTAGAGCCTGAACCCCCTCCCTCTGCACCCCTCCACCCCCAAACGCCGTCCCGGAGCCTACACCCAGCACCCAAACTCCATCCCAGAGCCTGCACCCCAGACCCCCTCCCACAACCAAACTCCCTCCCAGAGCCTGCACCCCTCCTGCACCCTAATCCCCAGGCCAGGGCCTGCACCCCAGACCTCCTCCCCCCACCCAAACTCCCTCCCAGAACCTTAGGCAGGTGGAGGGTGGAGTTTGGGGGCGGGTTCTGGGCACCACCAAAATTTCTATAAACCTGCCACTCCAGTGGGCCTGCACACTCAAGGTCGGGGCGGGAAGCCAGGTGTGGGGGTCCTTCAGCGATGCAGGCAGTGTGAAAGCAGGTGGCTTGGTTTGGAAAGTGTGGTGCAGTATCACTGGTTCTGATGTCACTAACCACGTCTTGTCTTTTGCCGGCTACTTAGGGCTCTTCTGCACTTGAAACATTACAGTGGCACAGTGGCAGCTCTGCAGCTAAAGCATTTCTGGGTCGACGCTACCGACGCCGACCGGAGGGGCAGGAGGGGCAACCCACCGCCCCGAGAGGCAGTAGATAGGTCACTGAAATTCAACGTGCCTCTGAGTCTTTTCTCTCAGTGCATTAGGAGATGGCAAGGGAGAGCTGACTCAGGCCGCAGCTTACATCAGCCTTGTTTGGAGATCCCCAAGGTGTCCAGCCATGGAGACAGAGACTTATCTCATCTCTTTGCTTTCTTTCAGTTTCCATGACAGGATTCCCCATGGCAGGTAAATACAAACATAGGCAGAGGGTGCGGGGTCTGTCCGTATGTGTGGGGTGCATGCTGCAGTGTGCAGCTATCTCATAAATTGGGGCGAGGAAGGGCAGAGTTAAGGTTATTTAATCTAGTCATTCAAGTGTAGAACTGGAATCTGGGTTCAAATCCTGCCTCCTCCAGACTCACCTCATGGTCTCAGCCCATCTCTTCCTCGCTACATGCCTCAGTTTCCCCTCCAGTGAATTGTTAACAAGGTGCACTGTGTGGCAGAGTGAGCAAGGCGCAGGGCATCCTGGCTGTTGGGTACCTGTGGAAATGCCACAGCAATTCAGCATCTCAAGGGCTCACCTTTGCCCAGTAAGACCGATTGAAATTTGGGCTCTGGCAGCGGCTGGCTGAGCTGCATCAGTCTGGGGTGACCCCAGATTTATCCTGAGGAATGATCTGCCCCAACAGATATTTTTGCCTTTAGTTATTGCTAGAGCAGTTTCAGCTCAGCCCTGGCTGTGGCTGGTGAATGGCCTCACCCCTGCAAAGGGCAAATGGAGGTGCAGTGTACCGACACTGGGGTGCCGTGATGCTAGCTGGGGCCTGTGAGCGGTGGGGGTGGGGTACCAGGAGCTGGGCTGCCGTAGTGCTGTCACCACAGGAGGGTGCTCTGTCTGGAAGGCCCTGTCTGTCTGGATGCTGTGGAATATAGAGGAGCTGAGTCAGCCCCAGTCAGGGCCAGTGGAGGCTTTGGGGGAGCAGAACTACAGCCCTTTGGAGCTGCTGCTGTTGGCTCTGGTAGACGGGGGCATCAGGGCGCAGACGGGGAGGGAGCTCAGGCAGGGGCAAAGGGCAGTTCAGTCTCCTGACCAGTTATGCCCTTTGCCCCTCAGCTGGGAGCCGCTCGGACTGAGGGCTGGGCTGGGCTGCACACACCTGTCCTGTCATGGAGGGGAATTAACCCCAGCAGCTCATTTCACATTTTGGGCATCAGAGAGCTGCAATGGCTGCAACTTCCACTCACTACCAGCTTGGACCCACGATCCCAGGTGTGAAAACCCAGTGCCTGTTCCCCCCACACCAGCCACTGCCCCTGCCTGAGTTGGGGCCAAACAGGAACCGGTGCCCTCCAGGGGCAAAGCTCCAGGTCTCCTTCCCCCAATGTTTTGTCTCAGCTCGTCCCCCTCGTACAGACTGTACTGCAGCCAGCCAGCTGCTGGGGGGAAAGACCCTGTGTCCCATCCTCCATCCCACGAGTCAGCCATTCCGCCATGCCTGGGGCTGGATCAGAGCTGGTGACCTCCAGAGAGGAACCCCCCAGTGTCCCATTCTCAGCCCCCCTGAGCCAGCCAGTCTGCCACACTGGAACTATCAGAGGCTTGTTCACCTGCACATCTACCAATGTGATATATGCCATCATGTGCCAGCAATGCCCCTCTGCCATGTACATTGGTCAAACTGGACAGTCTCTACGTAAAAGAATAAATGGACACAAATCAGACGTCAAGAATTATAACATTCAAAAACCAGTCGGAGAACACTTAAATCTCTTTGGTCACTCGATTACAGACCTAAGAGTGGCAATTCTTCAACAAAAAACCTTCAGAAACAGACTCCAGTGAGAGACTGCTGAATTGGAATTAATTTGCAAACTGGATACAATTAACTTAGGCTTGAATAAAGACTGGGAGTGGATGCGTCATTACACAAAGTAAAACTATTTCCCCATGTTTATTCCCACCCCCCATTCCCCACTGTTCCTCAGACATTCTTGTCAACTGCTGGAAATGGCCCACCTTGATTATCATTACAAAAGGTCCCCCCCCCCCCCGCACCCTGCTCTCCTGCTGATAATAGCTCACCTTACCTGATCACTCTCGTTACAGTGTGTATGGTAACACCCATTGTTTCATGTTCTCTGTGTATATAAATCTCCCCACTGTATTTTCCACTGAATGCATCTGATGAAGTGAGCTGTAGCTCACGAAAGCTTATGCTCAAATAAATTGGTTAGTCTCCAAGGTGCCACAAGTATTCCAGTTCTTTTTGCGAATACAGACTAACACGGCTGCAACTCTGAAAACTGGAACTGAATGGGAGCCAGAGCAAACGATAGGGAACAAGCCCCATATTCCTTTCCTCTAGCCCATCCCTGAGTGTTTATCCCCTTGGGGTGTTTGCAGACTCTGGCATTTCAGAAGTGGCTCAGCTCCGACTGGTGAACGGCCCGAGTCGCTGTGCTGGGAGAGTCGAGGTGCTTCACGACGAGCAGTGGGGAACCGTGTGTGATGACGGCTGGGATTTAACTGAGGCCAGAGTCGTGTGCAGGCAGCTGGGCTGTGGGACGGCGTTATCAGCCCCACGTGAGTCTCGGTTTGGACAGGGAACTGACCGTATCTGGCTGGATGAGGTTAACTGCACAGGGACAGAAGCTGCCCTCTCCGAATGCAAGGCTCGGCCTTGGGGAGAGCATAACTGTAACCACGTGGAAGATGCCAGTGTTGTGTGCTCAGGTAAGCCTCATCTCTTCTGTCACGGTGGGTGCTGCAGGGAGTGGATTAGGAAGCTTTCAGCCCAGCCCCTGGTTCCCCATCTGAGTTCCCGTGCCCCAGCGCAGCGCTATGGGCCTGTACTGAAGGGAGCAGGCTGGGAACACAGGAGGGGGTGCTCTCCCCTAGTAGTCTGGGATGACCCCAGTCCTCCCGCTGGCTGACAAAAGGTCTGTGCTGCAGGGTATGGGGCTCTCGCCTCACAGTCAGCGACGCTCACAGTTCCCCAGAGCGGCGCTAGGGGGCATGAGCTGCAGAGGGTGGAGTGTGGGGCACAGTGAGAGGCCCTCTCCCCGCTCTGATCGCTCTGATCCCCCGCCCTCCCTGGCACAATGGGGCGCTGGGTAAGCATGGATCCCAGCTGTGGGACTTGGTGTCAAACAGAGCTTGCAGTCGCTCCTGGGGATAGAAACCCAGGGTCACTTTGACAAGAGTTGGGCTCCTAACTCAGCCATGCTGGACAATTTGCACCACAAACAATTAGCCCTGAACCTGTAACGTGCCCCGCAGCTCTGACTGGCCCGGGCCAGGCAGCAGGAGCCAGGAACAAGGTGTGGTAACGGGAACAAGGAGGAGGAACTGGCCCGGGCCAGGCAGCTGGAGCCAGGAACTAGGGGTGGTAACGGGAGCAAGGAGGAGGAACTGCCCTGGGTCAGGCAGCTGGAGCCAGGAACTAGGGGTGGTAACGGGAGCAAGGAGGAGGAACTGGCCCGGGTCAGGCAGCTGGAGCCAGGAACTAGGGGTGGTAACGGGAGCAAGGAGGAGGAACTGGCCGGGCCAGGCAGCTGGAGCCAGGAACTAGGGGTGGTAACGGGAGCAAGGAGCAGGAATCGTGTGAGGTGGCAGGAATCCGGTCCTTGGGGTCTGGCCAGCAGCAGCCTTAGCAAGGAGTTGCTCAGACAAAGGGTAGGATGGGAACAGGGAGCTTTACAGCTGGAGGTGTCCAATCAGCAGTCTGCTTCTCGTCACCGGCTCGTGGTGGGTGGGCCTCTGCTGGTGGCCCATTAGCTACAATTCCCTCATCTCCCGGTGATGTGAGAGGTAAGGCTGCAGTTCAGCAAGCTCGTGGATCTGGGCTTGAGCCCTGTAGTGCATGGGAGGTGCCTAATTCTTTCCCATTTCCTGCATAAACAGCTCAGCCAACTTTGCCGAGCTTGTCTCTCAGCTGCCCTGATTCACCCCAGAAGCAGGAGCATGTCGGTGGTAGGGAGTGAGCCCGTGATGGGTATTCGCTGTGTGGACCCGTGCGTGGGAAGCACTACATTCTCCAGTGTCACTAGTGATCCGATGCACAGGAAACTCCCTGAGTGTTTATCCCCTTGGGGTGTTTGCAGACTCTGGCATTTCAGAAGTGGCTTAGCTCTGACTGGTGAACGGCCCGAGTCGCTGTGAACGGCCTTGGCACAGTGCTATTACATTGGGATCTGAACTGACTGCCCCGTATTGAGCTCCTATCCCACTCCCTGCAGCATCCACCAGGATGGCGGAGGGTTACCTGAGCACACAACACCGGCATCTTCCACGTGGTTACAGTTATGCTCTCCCCAAGGCCTAGCCTTGCATTCGGAGCGGGCTTCGAAGTGCTTCACGACGAGCAGTGGGGAACCATGTGTGATGACAGCTGGGATTTAACTGAGGCCAGAGTCGTGTGCAGGCAGCTGGGCTGTGGGACAGCGTTATCAGCCCCACGCGGGTCTCGGTTTGGACAGGGAACTGACCGTATCTGGCTGGATGAGGTTAACTGCACAGGGACAGAAGCTGCCCTCTCCGAATGCAAGGCTAGGCCTTGGGGAGAGCATAACTGTAACCACGTGGAAGATGCCAGTGTTGTGTGCTCAGGTAACCCTCCGCCATCCTGGTGGATGCTGCAGGGAGTGGGGTAGGAGCTCAATACGGGGCAGTCAGTTCAGATCCCAATGTAACAGCACTGTGCCAGGGGCCCGTGCTGTAGGGAAAGTGTGCGGGCTCCTGAGAGACTGCTTTGCCCTCGCAGTCAGTGCTGGCCCCCATGTGGGTGAAGGTACTGTGCTGTAGGGAGCTGTTTGGGGACCACACAAGGGGGCCTTTCCCTCTGGAGTTCGTGCTGACCCCAGTGTCCCAGGGTGCTGACGGCTGTTGTGCTGTAGGAGGCAGGGTGGCGGTTTCAAGAATAACATCCTCCCATTGCAGGCAGTGCTGGCCCCAGTGCCCCAGCACAGCACTTAGGGCCTGTACCTCAGGGAGCGGGGTGGGGGCTCAGTAGGGGGCGCTCTCCCCTCGCAGTCAGTGCTGAGCCCAGTGCCCCAGCACAGCACTTAGGGCCTGCGCTGCAGGGAGCAGTACGTGTGCATCAGTGAGAGACCCTCCTCGTCACTAATCGCTCTGATCCCCCTGGCCCATGACAGCACAATGGGGCGCTGGGTAACCGTAGATCCCATTTGTGGGATTTGGGGGTGAATGGAGCCTGCAGCCGCTCAGAGGCAGTAGAAACCTGGGATCCCTTTATGAAGAGTGGGGCTCCTTCCCCCTTCACTCCCGGTGGTTTCCATCTCAGCTAATTACCCTTGAACCTGTTATATCCCCCACTGCTGTGACTGGAGACAGGGTTCTTCCTCACCCCCTCTCCTACATAGCCCATGAGTTTCTGTGCCTGGTCTCTCAGCAGTCCTGTCCCACTCCAGAGGTGGCTGAATGTCAGTGGTGGGGAGTGAAGCCCTGACAGGCAGTTGCAGAGGTGGTTCACAGCCGTCAGTGGGAGGTGCTATTTTCCCCAGGGTCACTAGTGATCAGATGCACAGCAACTTACTTGAGTGTTTATTCCCTTGGGGTGTTTGCAGACTCAGACATTTCAGAGCAGACTCAGCTCCGACTCGTGAATGGCCCGAGTCGCTGCGCTGGGAGAGTCGAGGTGTTTCACAACCAGCAGTGGGGAACCGTATGTGATGACAGCTGGGATTTAACTGAGGCCAGAGTCGTGTGCTGGCAGCTGGGCTGTGGGACGGCATTATCAGCCCCAGGGAGGTCTCAATTTGGGCGAGGCTCTGATCCCATCTGGCTGGATGAGGTTAACTGCACAGGGACAGAAGCTGCCCTCTCCGAATGCAGGGCTCGGCCTTGGGGAATCCATAACTGTCACCACGGAGAAGATGCCAGTGTTGTGTGCTCAGGTAACTCTCATCCATCACGGTGGGTGTTGTGGGGAGCGGGATGGGGGCTTAGTAGGGGGTGCTCTTCCCTCACAGTCAGTGCTGAGCCCCGTGTCCCAGCACAGCACTTAGGGCCTGCACTGCAGGGAACAGTACGTACGCCTCAGTGAGAGACCCTCCCCGTCGCTGATCACTCTGATCCCCTGCCCCATTACAGCACAATGGGGCGCTGGGTAACCATAGATCCCATTTGTGGGATTTGGGGTCGAATGGAGCCTCCAGGCACTCAGGGGCAGTAGAAACCCTGGGTCCCTTTATAAAGTGTGGGGCTCCTACCCCTATCATAGTGATTTCAATCTCAGCTAATTACCCCTCAATCTGTAACATCTCCCACTGGTGTGACTGGAGACAGGGTTCTGCCTCACTCCCTCTCCTATATAGCCCATGAGTTTTCATGGCCTGTCTCTCAGCTGCCCGTTCCCATCCCAGAGGTGGCTGTGTATTAGTAGGGCAGAATGAGCCCCTGCCAGGCAATTGGTATGTGTAGAGACTGATCAGATCCGAGGCGCTACGTTCCCCAATGTCACTAGTGATCAGAGGCAAAGGAATCTCCCTGAGTGTTTATTCCCTTGGCGCATTTGCAGATTCAGCCATTCCAGAGCAGGCTCCAATCCGACTGGTTGATGGTTCTAGTCTCTGTGCTGGGAGAGTCGAGGTGTTTCACAACCAGCAGTGGGGAACCGTGTGTGATGACAACTGGGATTTAACTGAGGCCAGAGTCGTGTGCAGGCAGCTGGGCTGTGGGACGGCGTTATCAGCCCCAGGGCGGGCTCACTTTGGGAGAGGTTCTGACACCATCTGGCTGGATGAGGTTAACTGCACAGGGACAGAAGCTGCCCTCTCCGAATGCAGGGCTAAGTCTTGGGGAGACCATAACTGTCACCACGGAGAAGATGCCGGCGTTGTGTGCTCAGGTAACCCTCCTTTGTCATGCCCCTGTAAGTGCTGCGAGAAGCAGTTCGGGGACTCACTGGGGCGCTCTCCCCTCACAGTGAGTTCTGACCCTGATGCAAAATGCTGGGCTGGGGCTTAGCGGAGGCTGCTCTCCCTGCAGGCTCCTGCGTTACCACAAAGCCCCAGGTCGTGTCTAAGGGCCTTGCTGCAGGGGCCAGTTTGGGGATGACAGGAGGGGGCTGCTCTCTCTCTGAGTCAGTGCTGACCCCAATGCCCCAGCATGGTGCTAGGGCACCGTGCTGCAGGCTGAGGTGTATACATCGCTGTGAGTGTCCTTCTGCCATGTCTGCTCACTCTGATCCCCCCACCCAACTCCAGCCCTATGGGCGCTCTGTGACCAGTGAGTTCTCGTCAGACTCACTTGCTGTCTTATTCTTATGAGATGAGAGGTTTGGTTGCTTCAGGGCATAGCCCTGATGTGCCCTGCTTAGACATCTGCCATTTTTGTATGTAGTTTAGTTGCAGCCATGTCGGTCCCAGGATACAAGAGAGACAAGGTGGGTGAGGAAATGTCTTTTATTGGACCAGTTTCTCTTGGTGAGAGAGACAAGCTCTCAAGCTTACATAGAGCCCAGACCCAAAGAAGAGCTCTGCGTGAGCTCCAAAGCTTGTTTCTCTCACCAACTGAAGCTGGTTCAGTGAAAGATATTGCCTCACCCACCGTGTCTCCCTAGATTTCTGTAAGGCATTCGACTTAACACTGCACAAGAACGATGCAAAATCAATGTGTCACCCGTTAAACTGATTAAAAATTGGACAACTTACTGGTCTCAAAACATAATTGGGAATGGAGAATCATCATCGGGAAATGTGTTTTGACTGGGGCCCTGCGGGATCACTGCTTGGCTTTACGCTACTTATCATTTTTATCAATGAACTGGAAGAAAACATAAAAACATCAGTCAGAAAGTTTGCAGATAACACGAAAATTGGGAGACTAGTAAATAGAGAACAGGACAGGTCACTGACACATAGGGATCTGAATTGCTAGGTAAGCTGGGTACAAGGAAACAAGATTCCTTTTAATATGACCAAATGTAAAATTATACATCTAGGAACACAGAACGCGGGCTGTACTTACAGGAGTGGGGACTCTGTCTGGGAAGCAGTGACCCTGAGAAAGATTTGTGGGTGGGGGGTGGATAATCAGAAGAAGAGGAGCTCCCAGAGTGATACTGTGACCAGAAGGACTAATGCAATCCTGGGATGCGTACACAGGGGAATCTTGAGTAGCTGTAGAGAGGTTATTTTACCTCTGTAGTTGGTGCGAACGCTGCGGGAATCCTGTTTCCAGTATGATGGGATCCCCGGGATGCAGCCTGGGACTGTGGGACCGTTGTGCCCCCTTAACTTTCTCCAGCCTGGTTTGTCTCACACAATGCTTTGCTAGTGACAAGCAGCAAACCCCTCCAGGCACTGTAATCACTCAGCACAACCGCATGTGGAGCCCCCACACCCAGCTAGATTGCATGAATGCTCCCAGAGACATTAATGAATCACACTGAGAAAGGCACCAGCCAAATCCCCCCAGCTACCACCCTTGTACCTCATGAATATACCGTCTTGTACTGCTCAAGATGAAGAGTGCAAATTTATTAATTGGTTCACTACTTCATCAATGGAAAGTGGATATACACCAGCCTTTGTAAATCTTAGGAGATTTACCAAACACTTCAGGCAAATTTAGTGGTAAAGATAAATAGTTAAACAAATTTATTGATGACAAAAGATATATTTTAATTGATTATAAGTGATAGGCAAAAAATCAGAGTTCGTTACCAAAATAAAATAAAATATAAGCACGCAGCCTAAATTCTCAACCCTATTAGACTGGGCAACAACTAGACTAAGCAGTTTTTCTCACTCCACTGGATATTGCAGTTCTTAGTACACAGATATCGCCCTTGAAACCTGGGCCAGTCTTCTCTGTTGGAGTCTTCAGTCTTCTGAGTGTCCTTGTTGCTTGCAGCATAGGTGGGGCGGGGGAGGAGGAGAAAAGGCCAAGCATGGGCCCGCTGTGTTCTGTTTTATACACTTAGTCCCATGTGCTTGGAGAACACAAGTCCAGGCAAGTCTGGTCCCCAGTCAAGGTTGAGCAATTTCCCAGGTGTGGTCTTATGCAGCTGAGTCACTGAATTGTAACTCCCTTGCTGGACAATGGCTGTTGATGGTTGTTGGACATCCACCTGCGCATTTGTTAGCTCTTTTGTCATTGTCTCTGGTGAGCTAGTATCTGGGTGCTTCCCAAACCCACAGCATATTTTAGTGAAAACTATACAACTCAATTCTTATAATATTATATGCATTAATGATACACATATTTAGATGGAACAATGGCTTTCAGCAGATCATAACCTTTCCCATGATACCTCACGTGGCATGCTTTATATGCAATATCACAATTATATGTAAATGAGGAATATGGGGGTTACAGGGCGCTCCCACAAGGTATAGAATATCACATCCAGTTCTGGTTCCCACAATTCAAGAAGGATGCTGATAAATTTAAGAAGGTTCAGAGAAGAGCCATGAGAATGATCAAAGGATTAGAAAACCTGCCTTGTGGTGACAGACGCAACGAGCTCAGTCTGTTTAGTTTAACAAAGAGAAGGTAAAGGGGTCACTTGATCACAGTCTATAATTACCCTCATGGGGAACAGAAATGTGATAATAGAGGACTCTTCAATCTTACAGGAAAGTGTTTCATAAGATCCGAAGGCTGGAAGTTGAAGAGAGACACATTTAGATTACAAATAAAGTGCAAATTTGTAATGATGAGGATTATTAACTGTTGGAACTGTTTACCAATGGCTGTGGGGGATCCTCCCTCACTGGCAATCTTTAAATGAGGATTGGATGTTTCTGAAAGATCTGCCCTAGGAATTACTCTGGGGCAGGTCTCTGGCCTGTGCTACACAGGAGGTCAGACTAGGTGGTCAGAGGGGGCACTTTGGGCCTTGGGAGTCTATGAATCCCACTGATCAGATTCAGTGCCAGATGGAGCCTGCAGCCATTCACAAGGAGTAGGGACCCTGGGTCACTTTGTTAAGCATCAGGCTCTTAACCCCATTGCCCCGGCCAATTAGCATCTTAGCTGATGAGCCATGAACCTTTAATATTTGGCACCATGGTGACTGTATGCAGAATTCTTCCCCATGTCCTGCCTAAATGACTGGGCCAGATTTCCCTCGCCTGTTTCTCAGCTGCACCCTTGTGGCGGCTGCATATCTGTGGTGGAAGTGAGACCCACTGATAGGCGGTAGCTGTGTGTGGAGGCTGTTCAGACCCACCAGTGGGAGGCACTACGTTCCGCAGCATCACTACTGATCAGATGCAAAGGAACCTCCCTGAGAGTTTATTCCATTGGCGTGTTTGCAGACTCAGGCATTTCAGAAGTGGCTCAGCTCCGACTAGTGAATGGCCCGAGTCGCTGCGCTGGGAGAGTCGAGGTGCTTCACAACCAACGGTGGGGAACTGTGTGTGATGACAGCTGGAACATAACTGATGCTGGAGTCGTGTGCAGGGAGCTGGGCTGTGGAATGGCATTATCAGCCCCAGGAGGGGCTCGATTTGGGCGAGGATCAGACCATATCTGGCTGGATGACGTCAACTGTGCAGGGACAGAAGCTGCCCTCACCGAATGCAGGGCTCGGCCTTGGGGAGACAATAACTGTAACCACGGAGAAGATGCTGGTGCTGTGTGCTCAGGTAACTCTCATCTAGCACCGTGCATGTGGCAGGGAGGAGCGTGGGAAGCTCATTACAGGGCATTGTCCCCTCACAACCGTTACTAACCCCAGCATGGTGCTTGGGGCCTGTGCTTCAGGGAGCTATATGGCGGTTCCAATAGGGGGTGCTCTCCTCTCACACGCTGTGCTGACCCTAATTCCCCTGAGCGGTTCTATAGGCCTGTGCTGCAGGGAGCAGGGTGGAGGCTCAGTAGGGGGCGCTCTCTCCTTGAAGTCCGTGCTGGCACCAGTACCCTAGTGCAGTGCCAAGGGGCCTGTGCTGCAGATAGGGGGATGGGGTGTCAGTAGGGGGTGCTTTCCCCTTGCAGTTGTGCTGACACCAATGCCCCAGTGTGGTGCCATGGGCCCCTGGCATGAGGAAACCTTGTCTGTGCCCGCTGGGGGGAAGCTCCCCGACTCTCCTGGCTACAGAACACAAGCTGTGCCCTTTAGGCCTCACGGGGTGGCTTCTTTCCGGGTTGTGAGAGGCACACTCCAGCCCCCAGCCCTCCGAGCATCCCCCTGCAGCACCCAGCCCCTGTCCCGCCCAGTCATAGATCCGCTGCTCCCAAAGGAACAGGGCCCCCAGCTGACCAGCTCCAGCTCCCATCTCTGCCCCAAACAACACACAGCCCTAGATCCCTTCATAGGCACACCAAGGACAAGTGATTTCACAGAGTGTAGAGTTTCGAGGAGTAGCAAGGAGAAGGGTTGGAAAGAAATGGTTCCATGGCCAATAAAATCATACCACCTTGACTAGAGCCTAGACTCATTGAACGAGATACTTTTCTGTCTGGTAGAGCAACGCTCACCCCACAGTCCTTCCGGGGTTTTACTCCAGGCTTGGCTGTGATCTCCTGTTCCTGAGACAAACACTGTCAGTCACCTCCTGGGTGAAAGGCAGCTCTTGTCCCCTCTCCTCTTTCTTTGTAGGTACAGACCATTTTCTCTTCCCAGAGGAGGTCTCTCTTTGGAGACTTGTGCTGAGGGTCCTTGGTCTTTGCAAATTCTCAGGCCCCCACTGGGCCCAGACAGTGAATATAGCCTGTCTCCATGGCTGTGCTTTGTTCTATGTGCTGATTGGCTCAGCCAAAGGGATTGCCATGGTGCAGGTGACAAGCTTCACTTCCACACTTCTGGAGCGTCATATTCTACATTTTACATCTCTCTTCAACTGTGTCCCATACAAAGATCTTGCCTCTATTAGGGAGACCAGCTGGCTGCTGGCTGTTGGTAGAGACCTCACATGCCACCTCTGGTGAGCTATTGTGCATATATCTCACCTAGGGGATTCCCGTAAAACTCTAGGCATCCCTCTGCTCTCTGCCAGTTGGTGTCTAGTTATCTCTGGGCCAGCGTCCACAATGGGGACCTGGGTATCTGCAGCTTCCACTGGTTGGATTTTGTGTCAATGGAGCCTGCAGCCGTTCACTCAAACTAAAAATCCAGGGCCAATTTCTCAAGAGTTCGGTTCCTAATCACTTTATTCTGGCTAATTTCCATCTCAGGAAATAAGCCAAGAACCTGTAATTTTCCCAAGAGCTGAGATGTAGGACATGTGATTCTTCCTCACTTCCTGTCCTACACAGCATACATATTTCCTTGTCCTGTTTCTCAGCTGCCCTGTCCTGCCCCAGAAGTGGCTGCATGTCAGTGCAGGGAGTCTTCTTCTTTTGTGTATGTCACAAGTCGATATCTATGAAACCTTCTGCCAGTGGAGTTGGCAGCGATCAGGGCCGGGTTCAATATCTAGGGGTTCCTTTCCAGGAATATAACACAGGTCTGGTTTGAGCACCCACCCCAGTAACCGGGGACAATTACACACCACCCCCTGGGTGCTTCTACGAGGCAAAGCTTCCCCTCTTGTGAGCACAGTCTTAGTGCAGAAAAGAAACTTTTTAATAAAAGCAGGGAAGCCCAGCAGCATTAACTTTGGAAAACGCCGGAAACAGATAAAACCATGAGCAAAACACCTATCCCAGCTTATGCTGGGCAGTATCTTTTGCCTCAGGATCTTGAATCCAGCAACCCAAAGTTCCTTTAATGTGCCCCTCCCTTGTCCCTCCACTGACCCCTCTCACAGTGGTTGTCTTTGGTTAGTGAAGACCCAGAGTTCAGAGGTGCACCTGTGTGAGTTCAGCTCCCACCATGGAGGCGGGGAGGAGAGCGCCTGGCTCGCTCTCCTGTCTGGGTGCTTGCTCTGGTGGCAGCTGCCCTGCCAGCCACTCATCACTCTGCTCGCCCTCACCTCCTGCTGCCCCCGGCCTCTCTACTGTGACCTCTGCAGGTCGCTCTCTTGAGGCTCCCCCCAGCTCTTAGTGGAGAGACCTCAGTGCTGAAGCAGGCTGGGCAGAAACACTGTGTCACAGCAGATGATTTCTGCTCTAGTGATCACTTAATCCCAAAAGACTCCTAATGGAGCCTTAATTAGCTCTACCTTTGAAGAGTGGTGAGGGGCAGATTAAACTATGCCTAGACCTCTTACACAGAGCCCACACGCCTCAGCAGGAACACCCATCTCCACCCCGTCTTACTCTTGATAGGGGTCTGGTGTCTAAGCCCCCTGGTTAGTGGGTTTAGTTCAGTTTTGGGTGACCCCCTCAGTCAGGGCAGGCTAAGCCCAGTTCTGCTGCCCTTTTCTCAATCAGGATAACAACATTTCACTAGCCCTGCATTCAAATACACAGTGATTTGTAACCCAGCACCAGCCAACACAGCTCTGTCTGCTGGATATCTAGGCAGAGTGGGTGTGTGCATGTAAATACCGTCTGGTCCTGAAGCCTTTCCCCCTCCCCAGCTCATCACTAGCTGTCAGGGAAGAGGGTCATTCAGACCTTGCTTATGTAATGCCGACAGACCCTGGTCATCCGTGGACAGGATCAAACTGGGCCCTCTGGAGCTCAGTGCATGAGCCTCTATCACATGAGCTAAAAGCAAACTGGCTGTTAGCTAAGGCTGTGGAGCAGACTCATTAATTGCTCTCTCCTAAGTGGTCTCAGTGCCAGTAGATGGGATACAATACCACACCCAGGAGGTGTGTGGGTTACGCTTATCTCTAGCTTGTTCAGCCATCTGACTATGCATCCTTAAAGTCCACTCTTCTGACGGGGCTCTCCTCCACCACGACCACGTGTGACTGTCTGTATTGCTGCCCCACAGGCAGATGGAGAATATCGGGCTAAGCCACATTTCTGCATTGTAGCAATTCCTCAGGTCAGTCTAGTCAGGGCCCATTAAGCCTAGTCCAGGATCTGTATCCCAGGTTGCAAATAGGCAGATACAAGTTAGGGCTTCTGAAAATCCATGAGCAAGCCAGTCTCTCTATCCCAGAGTTGCTGCCCCTCTGTGAGTGCACAGTTGTCAGCCCAGCTCTGCCATCATTCATCTGAGACTGGTCCTGGACTGGCAGCACTAGACCCCACTGCAGCAATGGTTGCCACAAAACGATGTTGCCAAGTCAGTCGTGGCAAGTCAGGAGGAATCGCAGGGGCAGGTGTTTGCTTCAGGAGGGGTCCGATCTGCTTGGAGGAAGTGTGCATTGCCTCTGCACTGGGCACAACCCTTGTCAGCCTGGAGCGCAGCAGATTCCTGGCAGCGTCACTGCGCTCCAGGCAGTTCTCAGGGGGATGGACTCTGGGTGACATTTTCAGGAGCTATGGAGCCAACACATGTAAATTCGATGCTGATGTCAGGCTAAGGCAGCCACTAAGGACACTTGTGACTGTGTTCATCTCCCAATCACCAATATGCTTATGGCAGCGTCTATCCCCCAGCACTGCACAGTATCCCACTGGAGCGAATTCCAGCCCCAGGAGTGAGGGTGTAAATCTGCTCCCCAGGAGGTTCCCGCCAGCTTCTACATCAAGGCAGTGCGGGGGAGGGGGGATGATCTTTTTCATGAAGTGCTCTAGTGGGAGCAGTAGGTCAGACTGCAGTCCAGTCTGCCTAACTAGGTGAGAGCTGGCTGGGAGGGGAGTGGAAAAACTTCAACACTGCCCCAGTAATTAGCCTGGTCAGTGGTGGGGAGCCCTTGATAGGTAGTTGCTGTGTGCAGAGACTGGTCAGACCCGTCAGCAGAAGGCGCTACATTCCCCAGGGATACGAGAGATTAGATGTACAGGAGCCTCGCTGAGTGTTTATTACCTTGGGTGATTGCAGAATCCGGCATCTCAGAAGTGGCTCAGCTCCGACTGGTGAACGGTTCGAGTCGCTGCGCTGGGAGAGTCGAGGTGTTTCATAACAAGAAGTGGGGAACCATCTGTGATGACAGCTGGGATTTACAGGATGCTGGAGTCGTGTGCAGGCAGCTGGGCTGTGGGACGGCGTTATCAGCCCCCGTCGGGGCTCACTTTGGGCAAGGATCTGAGCATATCTGGCTGGCTAATGTGAACTGCACAGGGTCAGAAGTTGCCCTCTCCGATTGCAGGGCTCGGCCTTGGGGAGACAGTAACTGTACCCACGGAGAAGATGCTGGTGTCGAGTGCTCAGGTAACCTTCATCCATCATGTCACTGTGGGTGGTGCAGGGATTGGGCTGGGAAACTTTCAGCACAGACCCAGCTCTCCTGAATCAGCGCTGACCCCAGTACCCCAGCATGGTGCTAAGGGAGACAGTTCGGGGTCACAGTAAGTGTCGCTCTTCCCACGGTTTCAGTGCTGACCCCATTGTCCCCACACAGTTCTACATGCCTGCACTGCAGGGAGCGGGGTGGGGGCTCAGTGGGGGGCGCTCTCCCCTCGCAGTCAGTGCTGGCCTCAGTGCCCCAGCACAGCACTTAGGGCCTGCGCTGCAGGGAGCAGTACGTGCGCCTCTGTGAGAGACCCTCCTCGTCGCTGATCGCTGTGATTCTCCTGCCCCACTACAGCACGAATGGGGTGCTGGGTAACCATGGGTTCCATTTATGGGATTTGGGGTTGAATGAATCCTGTAGCCACTGAGGGATCCCTTTATGAAGTGTGGGGTTCCTACCACCATCACTCCGGGTGATTTCCATCTCAGCTAATTACTCCTGAACCTGTAATATGCCCCAATGATGTGGCTGGAGACAGGGTTCTTCCTCACTTCCTCTCCTACACAGCCCATGAATTTCTGTGCCCTGTCTCTCATCTACCCTGTTCCACCCCACAGGTGACTGCATGGTTGTGGTGGGGAGTAGGGCTGTCAAGTTATTATGAAAATCATAATTAATTGTGAGATTAAAAAATTAATCATGATTAAACATGCAATTAATCGCACCTTTACACAATAATAGCATACCCTCACTTTATATTAATTTTTGATTACAAATATTTGTACTGTAAAAAAGAAACAAAAGAAATAATATTTTCAATTCACCTCATACAAGTACTGTAGTGCAATCTCTTTATCAGGAAAGGAGAATGATTTACAAATAATAACTGCAATCAAAAATAAAACAATGTAAAATTTTAGATCCTACACATCCACTCAGTCCTATATCTCATTCAGCCAATTGTTCAGACAGACAAAAGTTTGTTTGTCAGACACAGTTTGTTTACATTTGCAGGAGATAATGCTCCTTGCTTCTTGTTTTCAATGTTACCTGAAAATGAGAACAGGCATTCATTCACATGGCACTATTGTACCCAGCGTTACAAAATATTTACGTGCCAGATGTGCTAAAAATTCATATGTCCCTTCATACTTCGACCACCATTCTAGAGGACGTGTCCATGCTGATGATGGGTTCTGCTCGATAACGATCCAAAGCAGTGCAGACCTACAAAAGTTCATTTTCATCATCTGAGTCAGATGCCACCAGCAGAAGGTTGATTTTCTTTTTTGGTGGTTCAGGTTCTGTAGTTTCTGCATTGTAGTGTTGCTCTTTTAAGAGTTCTAAAGGCATGCTCCACACCTCGTCCCTCTCAGATTTTAGAAGGCACTTCAGATTCTTAAAGCTTGGGTCGAGTGCTGTATCTAGCTTTAGAAATCTCACATTGGTACCTTCTTTGCGTTTTGTCAAATCTTCAGTGAACGTGTTCTTAAAACGAACAACATGTAATGAATCATCATCCGAGACTACTGTAACAGGAAAGATATGGCAAAATGCCGGTAAAATACATCGCAGGAGATACACAATTTTCTCCCAAGAATTTCAGTCACAAATTAAATTAACACATTACTTTTTTAACGAGCATCATCAGCATGGAAGCATGTCGTATGGAATGGTGGCTGAAGCATGAAGGGGCATGTGAATGTTTAGCATATGTGGCACGCAAATACCTTGCAATACTACCTGCAAAAGTGCCATGCAAACCCCTCTTCTCACTTTCGGGTGACATTGCGAATAAGAAATAGGCAGCATTATCTCTTGAAAGTGTAAACAAACTTGTTTGTCCGAATGATTGGCTGAACAAGAAGTAAGACTGAGAGGATATGTAGGCTCTAAGTTTTACATTGTTTTTTTTCTGAGCGCAGTTATGTAACAAAAAAAATTCTACATTTGTAAGTTGCACTTTCACAGTAAAGAGTTTGCACTACAGGACTTGTATGAGGTGAACTGAAAAATACTATTTCTTTTACCATTTTTACAGCGCTAATATTGTTAATCCAAAATACAGTAAAGGTGTTTTATCCAACACTTCACCAACTGGAAAGCTCTATAAATCAGCATTTCTGATTTTCATTGAAATGCTGATTTATAGTCCGGTTGGTGCAGGGCTAACAGGGCGTTGGGGCGCAGGATGGGGTGCGGATCAAGGGCTCTGGGAAGGACTTTGGGTGTGGGAGGGGGCTTAATACAGGAGAAGGGGTGCTGGGTGTTGGATCCAGTTGGATCCAAGTTGGATCCAAGGAGGAAGGGCAGTGTGGATACCAGACTAATAGGTCATACTGGCTGTAGAATGACCATGCCTAATCAGGTAAAGAATGTGAGCCAGGCCAAACAGCAAAAATTAAGATGTTTGTACACCAGTGCGAGGAGCTTAGGTAACAAAATGGAGGAACTAGAGCTATTGGTGCAGAAAGTGAAACCAGATATTATAGGGATAACAGAAACATGGTGGAATAGTCGTCATGACTGGAGTGCAGGTATTGAAGGGTATGTGCTGTTTAGGAAAGACAGAAATAAAGGTAAAGGTGGTAGAGTAGCATTGTATATCAATGATGAGGTAGATTGTAAAGAAATAAGAAGTAGTGGAATGGATAAGACAGAGTCATCTGGGCAAAAATCACATTGGGGAAGAAAACTACCAGAGCCTCCCCTGGGATAGTGCTTGGGGTGTGCTATAGACCGCTGGGATCTAATTTGGATATGGATAGAGCCCTCTTTAATGTTTTTAATGAAGTAAATAGTAATGGAAACTGCGTGATCATGGGAGACTTCAACTTAGAATCATAGAATCATAGAATATCAGGGTTGGAAGGGACCTCAGGAGGTCATCTAGTCCAACCCCCTGCTCAAAAGCAGGACCCATCCCCAATTAAATCATCCCAGCCAGGGCTTTGTCAAGCCTGACCTTAAAAACTTCTAAGGAAGGAGATTCCACCACCTCCCTAGGCAACGCATTCCAGTGTTTCACCACCCTCCTAGTGAAAAAGTTTTTCCTAATATCCAACCTAAACCTCCCCCACTGCAACTTGAGACCATTACTCCTTGACCTGTCCTCTTCCACCACTGAGAATAGTCTCAAACCATCCTCTCTGGAACCACCTCTCAGGTAGTTGAAAGCAGTTATCAAATCCCCCCTCATTCTTCTCTTCTGCAGACTAAACAATCCCAGTTCCCTCAGCCTCTCCTCATAAGTCATGTGTTCCAGACCCCTAATCATTTTTGTTGCCCTTCGCTGGACTCTTTCCAATTTATCCACATCCTTCTTGTAGTGTGGGGCCCAAAACTGGACACAGTACTCCAGATGAGGCCTCACCAATGTCGAATAGAGGGGGACGATCACATCCCTCGATCTGCTCGCTATGCCCCTACTTATACATCCCAAAATGCCATTGGCCTTCTTGGCAACAAGGGCACACTGCTGACTCATATCCAGCTTCTCGTCCACTGTCACCCCTAGGTCCTTTTCCGCAGAACTGCTGCCTAGCCATTCGGTCCCTAGTCTGTAGCTGTGCATTGGGTTCTTCCGTCCTAAGTGCAGGACCCTGCACTTATCCTTATTGAACCTCATCAGATTTCTTTTGGCCCAATCCTCCAATTTGTCTAGGTCCCTCTGTATCCTATCCCTGCCCTCCAGCGTATCTACCACTCCTCCCAGTTTAGTATCATCCGCAAATTTGCTGAGAGTGCAATCCACACCATCCTCCAGATCATTTATGAAGATATTGAACAAAACCGGCCCCAGGACCGACCCCTGGGGCACTCCACTTGACACCGGCTGCCAACTAGACATGGAGCCATTGATCACTACCCGTTGAGCCCGACAATCTAGCCAACTTTCTACCCACCTTATAGTGCATTCATCCAGCCCGTACTTCTTTAACTTGCTGACAAGAATACTGTGGGAGACAGTGTCAAAAGCTTTGCTAAAGTCAAGATACAATACATCCACTGCTTTCCCTTCCCAGATATAGACTGGAGGACAAGTGCTAGTAATAATAAAAGGGCTCAGATTTTCTTACATGCGATAGCTGATGGATTCCTTCATCAAGTAGTTGCTGAACCGACTAGAGGGGATGCCATTTTAGATTTGGTTTTGGTGGGTAGTGAGGACCTCATAGAAGAAATGGTTGTAGGGGACAACCTTGGTTCAAGTGATCATGAGCTAATTCAGTTCAAACTGAACGGAAAGATAAACAAAAAGAAATCTGCAATTAGGGTTTTCGATTTCAAAAGGGCTGACTTTCAAAAATTAAGGAAATTAGTTAGGGAAGTGGATTGGACTGAAGAACGTATGGATCTAAAGGCAGAGGAGGCCTGGGATTACTTTAAGTCAAAGCTGCAGAAGCTATCGGAAGCCTGCATCCCAAGAAAGGGGACAAAATTCATAGGCAGGAGTTGTAAACCAAACTGGATGAGCAAGCATCTCAGAGAGGTGATTAAGAAAAAGCAGAAAGTATACAGGGAGTGGAAGATGGGAGAGATCAGCAAGGAAAGCTACCTTATTGAGGTCAGAACATGTAGGGATAAAGTGAGACAGGCTAAAAGTCAAGCAGAGTTGGACCTTGCAAAGGGAATTAAAACCAATAGTAAAAGGTTCTCTAGCCATATAAATAAGAAGAAAACAAAGAAAGAAGAAGTGGGACTGCTAAACACTGAGGATGGAGTGGAGGTGAAGGATAATCTAGGCATGGCCCAATATCTAAACAAATACTTTGCCTCAGTCTTTAATGAGGCTAATGAGGATCTTAGGGATAATGGTAGCATGACAAATGGGAATGAGGATATGGAGGTAGATATTACCATATCTGAGGTAGAAGCGAAACTCAAACACTTAATGGGACTAAATCGGGGGGTCCAGATAATCTTCATCCAAGAATATTAAAGGAATTGGTACATGAAATTGCAAGCCCATTAGCAA